TTATAATTATACTTATTATATATATATATATATATATATCTAAATATATGATAAAATTTTACCAAAATATTTTCTTTTATGGAATCACATTGTAGCCAAATCGAATTTATAAATAAAAAAAATTTAAAATGACACTTGTTTGGAAATGAATATAATATAATCTATTATCACTTAGTGCACCGTACGAGTTGTGTAGTAATTTAAATAGATATGTTTTATGTAATTTTGCATAATTTTAATTCCATATAACATTTTTAATAAATTAATATGCGTATTGTATCACATACTGATTCCATATTTTTAATTTACAAATATTATTAATGAATATTTTTAATTTATAAATTTTAAAACATATTTCTTACCCGTGCGTCGCAAGAGATTCATAATAGTTCATTTACAAATTTATAGTCACTATTTTTATAATTTAACATATTAAAAAAACACCAAATATAATTAAACGGTTGGAGCATAAATAATATAGAAATTTTTATGAATTTAAAAACAAAATATAATTTATATTCCACAATTCTTATTTTATATAATTTACATAGTTGATAAAAATAAGAATTGTAGAATCATGTATCATACATTGATATAGTCTAGTGGTGGTGCTACCTCTTTAACATGCAAGAGGTCTTGAGTTCAAGCCCTAGTGTTATGAGAATTGGGAGAATTAGTAAGAATTATATTAGTGGATAGTCATGGGCTAATTGTGAGTCATGTGGTTCAAGGTGGGTCAGGTGGTTGCCTTCAAGTTGGATCAACAATTTTTGTTGCTAAAAAACCGTTGGTAATCTGTTGGGAAAAAAATTCTTTGGTAATCCGTTGGGAAAAAAATTCGTCGTTGGTAATCCGTTGGGAAAATTCTCTTGGTAATCTGTTGGGAAAAAAATTCATTGGTATTCCATTGGGAAAAACATCCGTTGGCAATCCATTGAGAAAATTCCGTTGGGAATCCGTTGGGAAAATTTCGTTAGCAATCTGTTGGAAAAAATATTCCGTTGGAAAAATTTTGTTAGCAATCCGCTGGGAAAAATATTTCGTTGACAATCCGTTGATAAAATTCTGTTGGTAATCCGTTGGGAAAAATCTGTTGGTAATTTATTGGTATATTCGTAACTAATATATTGACTTTCTGTTGGTAATCCGTTGGAAATTTTCCCAACGGATTGTATTTTCCGTTGGCAAAAGCTAGTAACAAGCCATATAGCAACAAGAAAATCTGTTGATAAACCGTTGGCATTCCGTTGGGAAATTCGATTAGCAACAGATTATTTCGTTGGTAAAACTCATATTTCTTGTAGTGTAAGGGTGAGGACGGTGGTGTAGTTGGTGGACGAGCAGGAGGTGTCAGGGAGGTGGGAGAGGAGGTGGTCGTGGAAGAAGATGTCCGCAGGAGGAATATCCACAGCAGCAGCGTACGGTGAAGGAGGGGCTAAACCGGAGATCGATAACGTCTGACAGTGCAAATGGACATGGCGGAGGTGCGCCGGTGCCTGAGCCTTCGGTCGGGCAATGGTCAGTCGTGGAAGAAGATGTTCGCCGGACGGCGCGTGTGTGTGACTCGCCACCTATGTTTCTGTGTGTGCGTGCATCTGTGTGTGTGTGTGTGTGTGTATGTGTGTGTGTGTGTGTGAGAGAGAGAGAGAGAGAGAGAGAGAGAGAGAGAGAGAGAGAGCTGGGGATGGGTTGGTGTAGTAGTGGGCCACGGGCATGCACTTATTGGATGTGTGTGAATAGGTAATAGGTATGGTTCCCACAGTTGATAATAAAATGTCTAATATACCTTAATGAACAAATAATTGTTGAATTTTTTGTTACCGTTGAATCTGGAATTTATTCTCATTTCTTTCACTAAACACCATTTTTCCACTTGAACCCAACCATATATATATAAACAGAAATTAGAAAATTCAAACGTCTGGCGAAAATTAAAGATATTTTACCAATTCAGTTTTGGTAACTGAAATCCTAGCATTTATACAATTAAATGGCATGTACTTCGTAAAGACGCAATAGTCAAGATGCAATAGGATAATATTTCACCATTAGATGTTTACAATTACTTTCCAATCATACAATATACGTAAAAATTCGCTTATATATAGATCGATAGATAAATAGATAAGCTAAATTAAACCTCCATACTTACCCAACTTCAACCATAACGTTTGTGTACACGAAATATTCATCATAAGAGATTATTAATCTAAACTAAGCCACCACAGATGCACGAAACGTGTGAAGGGAGACAATGAGCCCAAAAAGCAGGCTAATTAATATGAATATGAACCAATACGGCTACTATATTATCTCTCTCAGTCGTAGACAAAACCATCCACGTCTCAACTGCAACCCGATATCTACAATCCACCATCAAATTGACTAAAACTATTATTATTAATCTTTTCTTTTATTTTGATAGGTAACCATAACTATAATCCTGCTGGGCTCCATTTTTCCTCCAAAAGCTCATTAAATTTTCTTGAATTGGGCCGGTGCCAAACACAGCTGTCACCTACAAAATTTTGCCAATTATGTGACCATATTTATTAAGTAAAAAACCTTTAAGAAACTAATGAAATAGTCTTTTCACCCAGAAATTCTACGGCACTACATGTGGTACTATATTATAGTGCCACAATATGATGTGTCATATTATGATTGGTGCCAAAACATGATGTGTGATAGTTGTGGCACCAATCATAATGTGTCACATCATGTTGTGGCACCATAATATGGTGTCACATGTAGTGCCATAGAATTTCTGGTCTTTCATCCCTGTGTATAATTCTCGAATGCGCTGAGTTAAAGTGGCAGGTCCGTGTGCTTGTAAGCTTATTTGGCATTAATTGGTGTTTTGTATTGACACAAGTTCAGGTTTGGTTTTGACTATTAGACTTGTGAATTACCATAAATTATTTTAGCTTGCTTGTTTTTTTCCCCTTATATTACCATATACTACTCTTACTTTTTTTATTTAATTCATATATTAATTATTATAAATATGTATTCTTTTTATTTTATAGCTTTTATAATTTTTTTTTATTTGTATTTTATTTTTTTTATATATGATCTACCAAATATTTATATTTTGGCGATCTTCGATTTGACATTCATGTTGTATATATAAAATACGTTATTATGTTATGTAAAATATTAAATATTAAAGAATATTATAATTAAATATAGTAAAATAATTTTTTATTTCATAAATTTGAAAAATAAAACTTTTTTATGTAATTCAAAATTACTAATTATATGAATTTAAAATACTTGGAAAAAATTAATAAACGTGAGACACTAACTCTATAAATATAAATATATTCACAATACAATAGAATTTGTATTTTTTAGAAAAAAAAATAAATCAAATATATGAATTTGTAAATAATATCCGTTCTATACATATATAATTTTAAAAAAATATAACTAAAAATATCTTCTTTTTTTTTACAAATTAAGTATAAAAATACAGACACCATTTGAATTAATTATAACTTTGTTCGTGCATATTCATCGTACATAATTTCACAATACAAATGTGAATTATTTTAATTTCAATTGTACAAATATTAATATATTTAAGTACGAGTTCTACCTAAGAATTTGCCAACTTG